CCTCATGATGCATGAACCCCCTATGTTTATATTTTCCTTCTGATATATATATATATATATATATATATATATTGTATATGTTTCATATATTTGTTTCATGCAATACACAATTATGCTATGTGGAATATGTGAGTCAAAGAATAGATTGTCGAATGTTCTAAACTTTGATACTTATGGATGATTCATTCCGACCAAATCACGACGAATTAGCCATCTAAAAAAGGTACAATTTCACATTCATATTTATGTATACAAAATCAATGCCAAAGATGAAAATTTCGGGTTTTTGGATTTCCATGAATTCTGTAATACATCGCAGAAAATGTGAAAAGAGTCAAATCAAAGAACAAAAAAGCATCACAAGCATGCATGCTCCTAAGTCCTAAGTCAATAAAGTTTATTAGTACAGATCATGGTTTTTCGACGTGCACGCATGTGCAAATTTTTAAGGCCAAAGCACACGCCATTTCGACGTTCACATAATTCCCTTAGAGCAAGTCCAGTCTTGCATGTAGGCCGGGGGGACAGGGAAGAAGAAAGGGCCCGAGGGCCTGTTAATCAGCTCCAGTCATGAAGAGCCCGAGCTCGTGGAGAAGGCCCGAGCAAGAGGCCTGTCAATTTGTGACAGCCCGGCAGCCTGAGCTCCCAGCCCTTTTTCTGTCAGGCGCGTGCACCCCACTCACGTGTGGGGGCGCGTCGCCTGACAACTTTTTAGAAAAGCAGTCCGCTTTTCAGAAGGTCTCAGTTACCGTTGGGAGGCCACGTGGCTTCCCATGGTCCGTTCGATCTCAACAGCTCCTTCATTTGGACCGTTGGATTTCAACGGTAAAAAAAAAAAATCTTATTTAATATCAACCGTTCGATCTAAGATCAACGGTCGATATTAATATGCTTTATAAATAAAGAAAAAATAGTTTTAAAATTAAGAAAAGTTACCGTTGTGACACGTGGCACAATCTGAAGTGTTGGAATTCAATTTTTTTAAAATCCAACGACAGAGATTAATTATGTGAAAAAAAAATTAAAAAAAATGGAAAAAATCCGAAAAAATTGTAAAAAGTTTGAAAAAAAATTTGTAAAAAATTGTTTTTACTTTTCTATAAATACCACTTCTTCTCCATCTACCTTACACCACAATTTCATATTTTCTCAACCACTTTCAATCAAATTCCTATCTTTCTCTCAAAGTTTCAATCCAATTTTTTTCCACAAAATGACTACTGATGCAGGTACGAATTGGTCGCTTCTTGAAGACGTGGCACGATGACATTGGATAAAAATCTTATCGAAATCCATCACTAAATAATTGTTTTTTTTTTTATAAAATGACACGTGGCGCAACGAGAACGATTTAAAAAATCTTATCTGAAATTACAAATAATTTTATTTTGTATTATTTAAACAAACAAAAAAAAACTAATATTTTATTGCCCATTGCCAGGGGGAGGGCTCCAAGGGTGGAGATGCAAATGACAATTACTGTTCATTAATGGTAGTTACTATTTATTAAAGGCAGTTACTGTTCAAAAGGGTGGATTCAATAGTGGATTGCCAGGGGGAAGGGCTCCATGGATGGAGTTGCTCTTATGCAGTCAATTCTTGAATTAAACCCAAAGCACACGCCAATTTTTAAGGCCACTCCAACTGTTAGTAGCCTTTGAAAATTAATCTATATTCTTAACTAAACCTCGATTGTTTTCTAATGTTCAATTTTGAGTAAAGCATGGCAGTTTATTTGTGCAATTTATCTATAACTAGTGAAAAAGAAAATAAGTTTTGTAAATTTCAATTCATCCAATAAACGAGAAAAATGCAAAAGTTCGAATTTCTTCTTCGAAGATGACTTTGACTCGTAAAAGAAACTGCAAGCCTTTGCAAAAGGTTCCTTCCCCTTCATTCAAGGCAATTTGCAAAACAATGCCAATATATGTCTATGTCGAGATCTAAAGAAAATCTTTTGTGAGTCATATGAAATAAACGAAGGAGAATACTAAAAATTAAAAAAAAAAGAAAAGAAAAAGTAGTACCAATTAAGCATCATTAAGCTCTTAGTCTTTGAGGAAAAAAAATTTGATGACAAATTTCCAAATTGCATTTGACTTATATATAAGAGATAAAGACTTTGATTTCGAGTAAGTTAATTTATGAAAGACTCCAAAGTCATAAAAGAGAATATTAATTGGAAAAACTTTTCCATCATCTAAGCCATGAAGATGTCATTTTCTTGTGGAGACCAGAAGAGTATGCAAGTCTTTATTATTGTTCTTCTCTTCCAAGCCTTTTTAATCAGTGCGGATCGAATTAAGGCTTTACGCAGGGTCTGGGAGAGCGGGAGCCTTGTGCACTGGGTACGACCGACCCTTTGAAACTTGATTTTAATCTCAATTTGCTCTCTGTAATTCAAAAGTTATCACTTTACTTCCTAAAACTCAAAAGTTACCACTTTACTTCTTGGAACTCAAGGTTCGATTAACCTTGTCCTTGGAACTTGATTTTGATCCCATTTTGCCCTCTGAAACTTGCAAGTCGTGTCTATAAAACCTAAATTTTGCTCCAAATTACCTTAGATATGTTAATTTCTTATGTGGGTTTGATTTGGGTGCGCTAGGCTAATCGATTTATTTTTTATTTTTTTCATTTCTTCAGTTTCTTTTAAACTTAATATTATGTGATTGTTGAATATTAACGCATAATGGAGATTTATAATCAAATTTATTGTACATGTGGCATAGTCTTATTAGGCGTTGGGTCCCATATATATTTTAAGAGACGACCTATAAGTTTCTAGGAGAAGAGAGAGTCCACAAGTCAAAACGGAACAAATTTTTCAAGAAAAAAAATGATAACTTTTAAGTTACAGAAAAAAAATAAAATCAAAATAGAATTCTAGAGGCGTCATTGACAATAAGCCTCGAATTAATTACAATCTAAATGAAAAACCATTGCTCTTAAGCACGGTAAAAATACTAAAATACCCCTCTTCAAATTTTCCGTTTCTTTATTTTAATCTAAATGGAAAACCACTGCTCCATCCGACGTCGTTCCCTTCGCAGTTCTCTCACTCTCATCTCTCATCTCTCTCTCACTCTTGCGATAACTCTTGTTGTATATCCTTTACGATTTCCCAATATACTACGTGTACCAGGATAAAAAATGTGTGATCGTCTGCAAAGCATTGCACCAAAGAGAGGAATATAATGTATAGGTATGCTTGGTTATTCAAATACGAAATTTTTTACTTAATTGCTACAATGGGACTTACAATTACAATTAACCGAATGTTGACTGGTCGGGCTGTCCAGGTTTAGTTAGACTTAACTCCATATCATGAGTAGCACTCCAACCAGATGAGCAGGCGTGCGATGGGAGCTTAGCTTTCTTTATATTTGTGAACCATTAGTGTATTTTGTATTGAACTTTTAGATTCTGTTGAGTAAAATCTGGTCAAGCTTGGTTATAAGTTTTCCGTCAGTGGTAATCTCACTGTTATACAAAGAGAGCAGTAAATATTCAAACAAAAAGAAATTTAAAAATACAAAAAAAAATTATAAATAACTAGAAGTAGTGTTTGCCACAAGAAAACCGACGTACAATTTCACATTTATATTCCGATACAAAATCAAGGCCAAGATAAAGATTTCGGGTTTCGGATTTCCATGATTTCTCTAGTATCGGAATATAAGTTTATGAGTACATATACATGGTTTTTCGACGTGCACGCATGTGCGAATTGTTCATGGTTCACAAAATTCAATTTTGCGGTAAATTCTTGAATTAAACCCAAAGCACACACTCAAATTTAAGGCCACTCAAACTTTTAGAAGCCCTTGGAAATTAATCTATCCTTAATGAAACTTTGACTCTTTCTAATGTTTGATTTTGAGTAAAATATTGCGACTTTACATGTGCATATTTATCTATAACTAGTGAAAATGAAAAAAAAAAAGTTACGTAGATTAACGAGAAAATGCAAAAGTTCGAATGTCTCCTTAGAAAATAACTTTGACGCGTAAAGAAAACCTGCAAGCCTTTGCAAACGTTCCTTCCCTTTTATTCTAAGGCAGTTTGCAAAACAATGCCAATATATGTCTACGTCGAGATTTAAAAAGAATCAGTTGCCATAGTCATATGAAATAAAGGAGAATACTAAAAAAAAAAAGTATCAATTGAGCATCATTAAGCTCTACAAATTGCCAAGTTGTATTTACCTTATATATATAAAAGACAAAGACTTTGACTTCGAGTAACTTAATTTATGGAAGACTCCACAAAGTCGAGAAAGAAAAAAAATTAATTGGAACAACTTTTCCATGGTCTGAGACTCTAAAGCCATGAAGAGGTCATTTTTCTTGTGGAAAACATAACATTCTGCAAGTCCTGTATTTTTGTTCTTCTCTCCCACCCCTTTTTTCGGTGCGGGTCAAATTAATTGCAATAGCTCATGAATGCCATTATAAATGAGATTATAATATGTACACGAAGTTAAACTAAACAATGGCCATGGCATCCTTAGCTTTTCATAAAGTATGCCTTCTGGCTTATTGCCTTGTCTTGTACGTACAACTTGTTTCATCACCAAGTAACGCTGCTTTTATTTGATATAAGTTTTAACTTATGACACCAAACGGAATAACTTTAATGAGAAAAAAAAAAAATAGAAATAAATGAGATGTGAACGAGAGGGCAGGGCTGAGATGGTGATATTTGAGAAGAAATATTGACAATTACACACATTTGGGACTAAGTACATTGTTTATTATTGGAAACAACCGGTAAAAGGAGTGGGGTGGGCCCCATAAAACAATTACACACATTTGGGACAAAGACTTTGACTTATCTTGTACTTACAAAACATTTTGCAAGGCCTGTATCTTTCTACTCTCCCATCCCCTTTTTTGATGCAGGTTGAATTGACTTAATTACAATAGCTCATGAATGCCATTATAAATAAGCCCTGGGAGTAGATTCTAATACGTACACGAAATTAAACACTAGTGGCCATGACATCTTTAGATTTTCATAAACTATGCCCTTTGGCTTATTGCCTTGTCTTATTCGTACAACTTCTTTCACCGCCAAGTTTTTGTGCTTTTGCTTATGCTACTTCTACTACTGAAGCAGAAGCACTTCTCATATGGAAAGCCACCTTTCAAAACCATACCCGCCTGCAAAATCTCACCTCGTGGACTTACCTACCCGCTCATACAAAAGCAGCCCCATGTTTCTGGACTGGTATTTCATGCAATGCTGTTGGAAGTGTTAGTGTGATAAACCTTACCAATTCCGGTATACAAGGTACGCTACATGAGTTTTCATTCTTGTCTTTTCCCAATCTTCAATACCTCAATCTCAGCTACAATAATCTCTTTGATGCCATTCCCGCTCAGATCAATTCCCTCTCCAAACTCATCTCACTTGATCTTTCTAACAATTGGCTCAGTGGTTCAATCCCAACATCTTTCGGTGATCTCACAAACATTAAATTTCTCTATCTCTACCGAAATAATCTTTCTAGCACAATTCCAAAAGAGATAGGGAAATTGAAATCTCTTGTGGACCTAAGATTGTCTTTTAACCAGCTCAGCTGTTCAATCCCAACATCCCTAGGTGATCTCACAAACCTTACCACTCTCTATCTCAATAATAATAATCTTTCTAGCACAATTCCTAAAGAGATAGGGAAATTGAAATCTCTTATGGACCTAGAATTGTCAGAGAATCAGCTCAGCGATTCAATCCCAACATCCCTAGGTCAGCTCACAAACCTTACCACTCTTTATCTCTATAGTAATAATCTTTCTGGCACAATTCCTAAAGAGATAGGGAAATTGAAATCTCTTTTGGACCTAAGATTGTCTTTTAACCAGCTCAGCTGTTTAATCCCAACATCCCTAGGTGATCTCACAAACCTTACCACTCTCTATCTCAATAATAATAATCTTTCTGGCACAATTCCAAAAGAGATGGGGAAATTGAAATTTCTTGTGGACCTAGAATTGTCATATAACCAGCTCAACGGTTCAATCCCAACATCCCTAGGCCAGCTCACAATCCTTACCACTCTCTATCTCTATAGTAATAATCTTACTGGCACAATTCCTAAAGAGATAGGGAAATTGAAATCTCTTTTGAAGCTAGATTTGTTTGGGAATTACCTCAATGGTTTAATCCCAAAATCCCTCTGTGATCTCACAAACCTTACCATTCTCTATCTCCATCGTAATAATCTTTCTGGCACAATTCCAAAAGAGATAGGGAAATTGAAATCTCTTGTGCACCTAGGATTATCTTATAACCAGCTCAACGGTTCAATCCCAACATTCCTCGGTGATCTCACAAACCTTACCACTCTCTATCTCAATAATAATAATCTTTCTGGCACAATTCCAAAAGAGATGGGGAAATTGAAATTTCTTGTGGACCTAGAATTGTCTTATAACCAACTCAACGGTTCAATCCCAACATCTCTTGGTGATTTCACAAACCTCGCCACTCTTTATCTCAATAATAATAATCTTTCTAGCACAATTCCTAATGAGTTAGGGAAATTAAAATCTCTTGTGAACCTACAATTGTCTTATAATCAGCTCAGTGATTCAATTCCCGCTTCAATAGGTAATCTAGTCAACTTGAAAATCTTACACCTAACAGATAACCAACTTTCTGGCTCCATCCCCTCAGAGATAAAGAATTTGAAGAAGTTGACTAAATTGCAATTGCATAATAACCAATTAATAGGTTATTTGCCCCAAAATATTTGCTGTAGTGGACAACTCCAAAACCTTTCAGTGGGCAATAACCATTTGACAGGTCCAATCCCCAAAAGCTTGAAAACATGCAAGAGCTTAGTTAGAGTTCGTCTTGAAGGGAACCAATTCACAGGCAATATATCAAAAAACTTTGGTGTTTATCCAAATCTTGATTTCATAGATATGAGCCACAATAAGTTTTATGGTGAAATCTCACAAAAATGGGGACAATGTGCACAATTAGAAACCTTACTAATTGTGGGAAACAACCTTATTGGTAGCATACCTCCTGAGATTGTCAATGCTCATAAAATCCATAGACTTGACCTTTCTTCAAATCACTTAGTTGGGGCCATTCCAAAGGGATTCGGGAGAATGACTTCTTTGCAGAAGTTGATGCTAAATGGAAATCAACTTTCAGGTTGTATACCTTCAGAATTTGGATTACTAGTTGATCTTGAATACCTTGACTTGTCATCAAACAAATTCAATGGGTCAATTGCAAGCACTTTAGGCAACTTTCTCAAACTGTACCATCTGAATTTGAGCAACAATCATTTTTCCCATGGAATTCCATTGAAGTTGGAAAAGTTAGTTATGTTGAACGAACTTGATTTGAGTTGCAACTCACTTAAAGGTAGCATACCGCCAGAAATCAACAATATGGAGAGTTTGGAGACACTCAATCTTTCTCACAACAATCTTTCGGGTTTCATACCACCAAGCTTTGAAGGCATGCACGGCTTGTCGTACGTGGATGTATCTTACAATGAATTGGAAGGCCCCATTCCCAACAACAGTGCATTTCGACAAGCTCTGTACTTACAAGGGAATAAAGGATTGTGCGGCAACGTCGAAGGTTTGCAACCTTGCACACATGGCCCAAGAAAGGATTGCAAATGGGTATTTGGAATCACATTCTCCTTTATAGCAGCAATTTTACTTCTTTCTGCTTTCTTTACAATTAAATTTGTAGTGGAAAGAAAGGAGAAGCATCCAGATAAAGCAGAAAAACACTTGCATGAAGAAATATCGTTTTCAGTTTTAAATTTTGATGGAAAGTCAATGTATGAGGAAATCATAAGGGTGACAGAAAATTTTGATTCCACATATTGCATCGGGAGCGGAGGACAAGGAAGCGTCTACAGAGCAAATTTGTCAAGTGACAACATAGTGGCTGTGAAAAAATTACATCAATTGTGGGATGGCGAGAAGAATTTGGAGATGGCATTCTTGAACGAAATAAGGGCACTTTCAGAGATAAGACACCGAAATATCGTGAAGCTTTATGGTTTCTGTTCACACCATCAACACTCGTTCTTGGTGTACAAGTTTGTTGAAAGAGGTAGCTTGGCTGCAAATTTGAGTAAAGATGAAGAAGCTAAAGAAATAGGGTGGAGAAAAAGGGTGAATATTGTTAAAGGTGTAGCTCATGCCTTGGCATACATGCACCACGATTGTGTGCCACCAATTGTGCACCAAGACATATCAAGCAAGAACATTTTGTTGGATTCTGAATATGAGGCCTTTGTTTCAGACTTTGGCATTGCTATGTTTTTGAATCCAGACTCAACTACTTGGACTGCCGTTGCAGGCACATATGGGTATGTCGCACCAGGTAAAATGTTTTTTCTTCCTTTTAACCTTATTAATTGAGTGCTGTTTATGATTAATGTTTTGGCCAAATTTATTTCTTTTCAACGTTAGGACGGATTAAACATACCACGTTACATGGTTTGATTTTGAAGAGAACATTCATATTTAAGTATAGGCGATACTTGGGTTCATTGTAAGCTTTTCCAAGTCAGCGCTCTCTTTCCTTAAAGCTAAAACATAAAAATAAATTGGAAAAAAAAGCAATTATAAACATGCAAACTATAGTAAGCATCTAATTTACTAAGTAATACCAATCGAGATGTTAATGAACTACTAAAAACTAACTAATTAAAACAACATGCAGTAAACATGGAACTGTAGTGAGAATACAAATACCACATAAGATTTATCTCTTTTGCCAAAAAGCCAATCTCTAGTACATAACAACGCTTGAACGGTTTAAGGCAATAAACAACTACAATATTGATCGATCACTCTACCACCAATACTAAATACTAATTCTAAGGTGACAGTAGAAACATGAATTGCTAATACATCAAAAGCCAAACGAGAAAGGACAGGATAATGAAATTGTTCCATTTTCCACCAAGAAAGAATATCTAACTCTTGTTTTCCCTCAAGAATTTAATTCAGTTTTTATAATTAAAATTGAGCCCTTTTTGTAACTTTTATCGAAATCCTGCAATGAAAAGTAAAAAACCCAAAATATAAGACTAGCAAAGATTATTGTGATGTAAAATAACTATGATCTAAGAAATTCAAACAGCAGTTTCTCAAGGAAAAAAACTGTCTCGCATTGTTTTCAATTAGAGGCTATCATCAACAAGGAGAAGCAATCACATATCGAAGAGAGCCCATGTGTCAAAAAGTTTATCGAATAAACTCGGTCTTAACATGCCCTCCACACTACAAGATGAGTTAATAAAATCATTCAGCAAAATTACTAGTTCAAGCACAATCTACAATATGTCAATATCCAATACGAGCTAAGGAAGATTTAGTGTATGTTATATATATATGAAATGTAAAATTCCCGAATTTTGAAGAAAAAATCACCGATCGAATATGAAGACGATCACTAAGAAGAAATCCCTAAAACCCAAAATTCAATTATAGTTGAAAATCGAAATTGAGCCAAAACGAAACCTTGACTACCCAAATTAAGCTAATAATCCACTAACCCAACAAAAAAGACAAAGTAAAATCACCTCTAGGTAACTGCCATTAATTCAATGCAGAGAGGGCTCGTGATGTTTCATATTGTTATGAAATTAGAGAGAGAGAGACAGAGAGAGAGAGAGAGAGTGAGAGACCGTGATAGGACGGAGGGCCGAATGGCGGAGTGAGAGATCGCGAGAGAGCAAAGGATAGAGTGGCGGAGTGGCAGAGTGAGATCGTGAGAGTGCGGACTGAGAGAATAGGGCAGTGAGTCGGCGGATTAAGAGAGACAGATCGCAGACCACTCAGTATCCCTTACATAAATTTACAAAAATATGAAACTGACCCTTTTTAAGTCTTTTGCCCATTAGTTGAAATTTTGAGAGCAAATTGGGTCGTTTGTCTTGGTCCATTTTGCCAGCTCTCATTTCCTTTTGTTAAAGTTAATTGTAAATTAGTTGTCCAATTTTGTTCAAATTTTTATATACAAACTAATACTTCCAATATTGCTATAATCTTATTTTGTTCAGAACTTGCATATACCATGAAAGTGAACGAAAAGTGCGATGTTTATAGCTTTGGAGTGGTTGCATTGGAAACAATCATGGGAAGGCATCCCGGAGATTTTTTCTCGTCTTTCTCATTGGTGCCTTCTTCATCCACGTCATCATCAGCATCTACATTACCACCCCATCAAATGTCAATTGTGGATGTTTTGGACCAACGCATTTTGCCTCCAACACATCAAGAAGCAGGAGAAGTACTCTCTATTGTGAAGATTGTGTTTTCATGCTTGAATCCCAGTCCGCACTCTCGCCCTACAATGAAACAAGTTTCTCAACTCCTCTCAACTCATAAGATGCATTTGTCGAAGCCATTATGTATGATAACCTGCGGTGAATTGCTTGCTATTGATCCTTTGACGGCCTGAAAAGTAGATAATGTGCTTGTTTCCAATTAATAAATTTCGAGACTTCATTTTTGAAGAAAGATTCTTCGTAGATGTTTCGTGTATTGTAATTTATTTTATGCACTTGTTTGCTGGGGCTCTGTTCACTTTATGCATAATGCTTAATGTTTTTCAATTAAAATTGTGTTTACCCTTGTGAGGAAGAAATATAAGTTATTAAAACAAAGACTTGGCTTTCATGCATGGGGACAATGACTGCTAAGATGAGAATGCAATGGCTACACTTTATATTACTATTTCTATATAGGTATACGGGCAGACATAGAGTCATAGGTAGAGAGAGAAAGAAAAGTGTTAGGTATTAGGTTTAATGTATACGGGCAAACATAGAGTCATAGATAGAGAGAGAAAGAAAAGTGTTAGGTATTAGGTTTAATGTTTGGTTTTCCTTGTAAAAAATTGTAAATGTTACCACACATGCTCATACTTTAGAGTTAGTGTACAATGCTGATTTGGGATTACCATTAGAATTGAATTTGTAAAAGCACCAGTCATCTTCACTAAGGTTTGGTTCATACATTTGCACATGCATATGAAGCTTTTTTTTTTTTTTTTTTTTTTTTTTTTTTCTAGTTCATTTTGTTTAGTGTAGTTGTCTAGTTAGAAATTCCTTATGTTGTCCAGTTGTTCAGGCACACAAATTAAGACAGCCCACATAGGCCAACTGACACATTTTCCCGTGTGTGGATTTCTCATCCTTGATCTAAAAATGTATCTTTGACTTGTGACACGTGTCTCCTTGTTCCTCTTGTCTAAAACATCTAGCTCTTCCATTAAAAGAGGTTTAAAGGTTTCATTTGTCTCATGGCTAGGTTATTTACATTTCAAGAAAAATAGTGCATTTAGCCTAGAACTACCTCTTAAGCTTCCAAACCGAAACCCTACCATAAAACCATCTCATGCACAAATACCCAATCACTGCTTATTAGGATTGCATTGTATTCATGGTTTTGCATTAAGTTCTTGGTCTAAACTTTAAGTTTCATATCCTTCATAGACCAACCCTTTGGCATGTTAGGTTTTTCTTCAACTGTTTGACTGGAGAACCTGACTAGTTGTTTGAATCCTCATTTCATAAGCATATCATAACATCATATCATTGATCGTGTTGATCTTGGTGCCACAAGGTGAAGAGCTTAGTTTGACTAGTCAGTACAGTTGGTTTCAAAGTATTTATTATAGGGAAATCTGCCTTGTACAAATTTCAAAGAGCGACCAACCCAATTTAAGATTATTGATCGACCAATCTCATTTGACCGATCCGATTGTTAGTGTTAAACATGATGGTAATGAACTGGTAATGAAAAAAGGATAGTTTTTGTTATTTTGTTATGGTAATTCTCTCTGTCTCTCTCAATGATCAATGATGCTGATTCAAATCGGTGTTTGTTGAAGAATTTGAGAATCCTGCATTGGAGGGTTGAAAAACTAAATATGATTTCTTGTGTGATTCCACTTTAATTACACCGCGGTCTTTTGTGATAAAACTCTCACACATACCCGTGTTGTGGAGGTGGTAAGATACAAGTTGAGGGACATTATATATGTGATTAGTAGTGGGCCTCTAAATTTAGACTGCGTTTATTTACGTGAATTTGGTGGATTGATGAAAGGTCTGTATGAATGCAATTCTTCGCCTTTCTAAAAAAATTATGTACTGTTAAATTTGTATCAGTAAAAGTTAATGTGCATGAGATTATTTATCTACAAAATAGAATAGAAAATAGAGGTATATATAGGTTTTTTGAAGGTTTTGAAGGGTCTGATTTGACATGAAAATATAGTTAGAGAAATTTTTAAGACGGATGAATAATCGTTGACGATTGGAACCATACACTGCAATTCGTTGGTAGTGGTAAAGGATAAGCTGCAATGGCAAATTCCGGAAGGATTTGAAACATCTCTAATCCTTATATCAAAAGGGCTTGATATTGGTAACAAATTAGCCACTTTCGAAAGCAAAAGGCCATTGAAGCAACAAATAAATGGACCAAAAATAGTCTGCAGTAGGCCTTCACATGAGCCACCAAACATCATATTCTTCTCCACTGTTGTCAATCCGGAGAGAACATTTCGTGTGGTCAATGATCTTGGGACACCTTTGTTTTTTTTTTTTAACAAAAAATATTAATGAGAGGGATGGGCTTAGCCTCACAGTAAATTAGTAATAATATTGTTAAAATTCGTTTTTGATGAGGATCGAACCTAAGACCTTTCACAGTGAAAAAAAATACTATTAAATCATAGTATTAATACTATGTGGAATGATCTTAGGACGCTTGAAAAAAGCAAACATCCAAAACCCCAGGTCACACTGACATTGGATATTGCCAACTGAAATACGATGCCGTCAATGATTCAATACTGTCATCGATACTGCAACACGACGCCATGGCTTTCCGTTTCGCTGCTAGGCCATGCTTGAGCAATTGCTGATTTTGAGGCCTAATACGACGCCATGGCTTTCCATCTCTGTTTGTTGGATCTTGGAACCACAAACCGAGTCGAGTGGGAGAGCAAATGGCACCAAATCTGAATCAAGCTTCTGATGCAAATCAAATCCCAAATCAGAGTATCCCCTGTCATACCCCTTTAAATCGATATTTGGCATACCAAAAAACGAAAACTCAAGAAACCAAAATATTGATACTACTGACAACCAATGTATCAATTAATAGAGAGAGCGGTAGGTTGGGTTTGGCTGAAATATGATTCAAATCCATCTTGAATTGCGTAGTATCCCTTTGCAACGCTAGAGAGATTGAAATTTGTGTGCCCTACGCGACTGAAGACGGCGTCCAGGAAGAAAGGATGGAGTCCGGTTTTTTTCTTTCATTTTTCACTCTTTTTTTTCCTATTTAATTAATGCAAAGGATAAATTAACCCTTTTGTTTTTCTAATTCACGTGGCATTATAATATGAAAACTTTAATGAAAAGCGTTAAGTACTGTTCATTTTAACGAAAAATCACACTTTTACATTAAAAAGTCAATTCTGGTACTATTCACTTTACCTTTTATTTTGTCCTTATCGTTAAAACTCAAAATTTTAAAGTCATTTTCATTAGTTTTCCTTTATAATATTGGAGTAAAGGCCTAATGTGCCACGTCAGCACACCAACAGATTTTTTAACAGAACTCAAAAGAAAGGACGACATTGATTTGTACCATCTATTTTAATTGACGACATTGAAATATTTTCAATTTTAGAGATCATTTGTAATAAAAACTTTTTTTTTAATATATATATATATACACACACACGTATGTATGTATGTATGTATGTATATGTATACATATGTGTATAAAATCCCATTATGATTGCCCAAATAGAGTTTCCATGGCTAAACTTAACATGTTTGAGAATCTTGATAATCAAAATTGTTTGAGGGAAAAATTCCATTTGATTTCAATATGCTTGATGTTTTTTTTAGAATGGGTCGAGAAACTGATTATGTGATAAATTTGTAGAGTAGGATAATTGAGAAACAAGAAATTTGCAAGATTTTCCTACCCCCAAAGTGAAAGGTTCTTCCCTTTTTTACCGGTTGTGAGCGAGGAGGTATTCAAACCCCTTAAGAACTCTATTTTGTACAATTATGCATAGCAGGCAAGAGATTACATTAAATTGAACTCTAATTATTATATGTTTAGTTGGAGATCCAGGAAGAAAGAAAATGAGTTTGTGGACGAACACACAATTTATTTTTAAAACCAACATTGTGGGGTAATAAGTATGGGGTGTGAGGGTAGTATTGAAAAATATGTGGGGTACTTTAAGATAAATTGTAACTTAAAATGTAGGTGTGGAGTGTATTAAGTGAGGTATAGTCAACACATGATGTAGGGTGTGAATAAAACAACCTTTAGGTTTGTTTGAGCTTCCCTGGCTTGGGAACCCCTTGGCCACGCACACCACTGCTGATGTTCTTCTGCAATACTTTGGCATTTGGCATATCTTATTGCACTTGCTTTTGTCCCTTTTTTTATTGCGCTCATGAAAAACTGATGAAAACAATAACAAATCTTCATGAACAAATTGTAGAGAAAGACAACAACCACACAAACAAGAAATAAAAATGTTAATTTGACTTCAATTCTTTTGCTCTTATTTTTTCCTCTAATAATAGTATAAGCTTAATTTTCTTCTCTCTTTTTAAGTACAAAATGTTAATTTTGATGATAGAAGTTGACTACATGGTTAGTGAGAGGATAAGTAATGGGTAACTGCAAAATCCTTGTGCTAATGTATGTGTGTTTGTTCCTCTATTTTTGACTTGGACAAGAAGATTTGGATAATAATTTGGATATAGAGTTAGTTAGAGGTGATAAGAATTATTGAGGAACGGATTTAATTGATAGATTACATGTTAACTAACAAGCTTGTAGTAAGATTTTCTAGATACAATAGCTTATAAGTTCGACATTAACAAAACTTTGTGAGTTTTGTTTGGGTTAATATTTGAACATTGGGTTGCAAATGCGAGAAAGCTCAGAGATGCCAATTAGAAGACGACTTGCCCGAAGCCCAGCACCAGGTCCAGAGACAAATTGGCACCTCCCCATTAATGCATAGACCATGTGCCTATGATTTAAATGACAAGTGATGGAGACTAACTCACAATCAACCAAAAAGCACATTCAGAGGCAATATAAATAAAAAGCTGATGACTCACTACCTTTCAAATGCTTTTGGGCAAGAACAAAGTCACATCAGTCGGGCTAACTGGCCTATAAAAGGAGGAAGAGGCCCCAGAGACAAGGACACTCAACCAATCAAACAAACAAATATACAAACTCTGCTCTTAAGCCAGATTTGCATCCAAAAGCCGTAATCAGCCCAAATCTCAGATCCTTTTAGCAACTAGCTATCTTTCTCTCTGGTTTAAAGCTCTGTTATCTCCCTTAGTGGCGTAGTATCAATTCCCTTGTGTAAACTTGTTTACCATCCATCCTTTTTTAGCACATAAACCCTTGTAATCACAAAGAGAAGTGACTGCAAGAAGTTCAACCTTGACAGACAAGGTGAAATCTT